TGATTCATCGGCCCTTCGCTCTCCACCACCCAACGTATGAATGGATCTTCCGCCAGAACATGGAAAGATACACCGCCATATTTTTTGTCCTTTGTGCATGTCGCCCCGCTTCCGGATTCATGTTGCCCGTTGATAAGGGCGGTTTCTTCGGTCCGATAGTGTCAGCACACGGTTTCCTCTCTCTCTCTCTCTCTCTCTCTCTCTCTCTCTCACACACACACACACACACACACGCACACACACACACACACACACACACACACGCGCGCGTGGCAGTGTAAATTTCGATGTTCCAGAGGTAGAAAAAAAAAAAAGTATACCAGGGCGCACCATGCGCGGAAGTGCGCTTGGCACGCGCACGCCCCAGCGCACCGGAGTGCCGCACAGCGCACTGCGCAGTGCGCATCAGTGCGCGCGCATCGCGCACGGGTGTGCGCACAGCCGAGGGCCGCATAGCGCACCGCATCGCGCACTGCACTAATGCACCGCAAGTATGGTCAGAATCCTTTTTTTTTTTTTTTTTTTATATTACCAATTAGAAGATTGAGGCCGGGGTCCTCACAGTCTGCCCAAGTACTTTCACATAGATCAAGCTGGCTTTATCCCAGGGAGGTACATTCTAAATAACGTCCTGATTCTAAACGAGGCAGCGAGGAAAGTCAGGGAGAAGAGGCTGAACACAGCAATCATGTTCTTGAGAAAGCCTATGACCAAATCAATTGGGCCTTCCTCAAGGCCAGCATGGAAAAAATGGGTGTGGGAACCAACTGTAGTTCTGGCTATCCTCCTTGTCTCCCTTTTCGCATAGTAAAGTCACAACACTACTGCTCAGCAGTTCTCCCATCCCTCCCTTTTCCCAACTATCCTCATAGAAGTGGAGGAGATCATTTCCCACCATGGGCCAGAACTCCTAGAATTCTTTGGTGAGACCATCAATCCCTGGAGTTTTATCATTGTTCATGCTGCGAATTGCAAAAATCTCAGTTCTTCTGGACTGATTTGTCTGTCTTGTACCGCAGCCTGTTCTATGGAGATTGTCTTGTCTAGGAATCGGAGCATTTTCGATCTTGCTTCTCTTACGGCCGTGGAAGAAGGGGAGGGGGGTTACGTCTGGTACAGTTCTTTGGCTGTGATCGTCGTCCTGTTTTGCGACGTTAAATAATTCCTGAGGACTTCGGGGGCCGTCCATAAAAACGCCTCCTGATCAGCCAATCGGTCGAGTAAGGCTCGCTGCACACGAGGATAAACACAATGCCGGGCTGGCCAGCTCAGCAGGACTTCGGGCACAGGGGTGGGCCGTGTGCACACCTTTAGACACGCACGCTGTTTCGGATTGCTCAGGGTGTTGACGACAACAGACATTCAGGAAGAACTGACGAAGGGGTAGATTCCAGGTGATACGTTTGGGCAAGATTCCATTATGCAAACAGACCCAACAAACGATTCTATTTTCATTTTGATTAGTTAGATGTACACCCATTAACATCTGACAGAGATGTACACCCATTAACATCTGACAGACAGCATAGTTTAGAACTGTTCTTTGTTCATTGTGCTTTCTGTTTGCGAACTAGTCAAAGTCAAAGTAGTTTTGTTTGTAGGAATCTGAACTTACCTGTTGGACCCAAATGTTTAGTCTCTGACACAACCACCAATTACTTTTTTTTTTTTTTTTTAAATCGGCCTGTACATTACGCTGCGGTAGGCATCAAAGGGTGACCTAGTGCAGATTGAGTATAGTTCTGTCGCTTATGAGCGATAGGGATACCACTAGTGAGGACGCCTGGATCTTGCGATCGGCTAGACGCCCAATTGCCCATGTGGCATTAGGACCCGAGGGTGATAGGTTACTGTTCTGCCAACAGAGGGAGAGGCAGCAGCAGCAGCGGAGAGCTAGGGCAGCAGAGGCCAGCAGGGCTTTCGCAAGCGAAGCCGCAGCTTCAGCAGCCATGGCAACTGCTGCGCAACAGAGTTCCCAGGCCAGCAGTTCAGGGACCTCGGGGTCAACGGTCGCGCAGACCATGAGTCAGTCCACTGGCGTCATGGCAAGCCAGCCAGTAGTGTTGACTTCCGATGAGATCGCCATACAGCAGGCAGCACAGCAGGAGGCACAGCTACAAAAGGCTTTGGGTGAGATTAAGGCAGAGAAAGAGAGTGATTAGAAGAAGAGCCAGAACGCAGCGAGGAGAAGCGGAAGTTAGTGAAATAGAGGGAATGAACCTGACACACATGGATGCAGATGTGAGGAAGTTGCGGACAGTCCTGCTAGGTGTTGTAGAGATGCAGGGCCACCACACGGCTGAGTGTGGCATACTGCGTAGCCACACGGGCCCTGCAGGGCCCATCCCGCACTCTCAGCCTAAAAGCCTAGAAACAAGGGCTTACAGGCCTCGTGTCCATGTCAGCCTGACAGCCTGAAAACCAGGGCCTACAGGCCCCGTGGCTGTTTTAGCCT